AAGTTGTCGTCGATGCAAACATAGCCGAATAAAATATGTTCTACTCTCACTCCCTCTTCGACCGCTGGCAACTTCTGCAGTAGTTGTTGACTGGTATCTCTACTCTACCGGCGTGTGACAGTGAGTTGTATTCTTCATATTTGAGTGCTTAAGTGTCTCTCTTTTAAATTTTAATACTTGACATGGACGACTCACATTCAATTCTGCTCACGTTTGTTTACTTATCGAGGAAGTCAGCGTTTGTTTTCAGCGCTACTCAGCAATCCATCTCAATTAAATATTTACAAGTAGGCAGCGGCATATTTATTGCGCCTTTACCTGAATCTGATTGTATGGAGATATCAAATCTAGCCAGTACATTTGCCACGCAGTTACCCAAGGTATCTTTGTGTACTGGAATTTATTCCGATTTATTGTGTAGTACGATGATAGCCCTGTCAGGGGTTCAACTCACTCTGTTATTATCTGCGATTTTGAACTGCATAACATTTTTGGCTTCAAATCTGGTTCATTGTAAAGAACAGACACTATCAGAATGAGGTTTCCCTTAGTTGCAGCAAAACTCTGCCGGAAAATTCTGCTGTGATCTGCTAGGCAAAAGACGTCTTTATTTGTAGCGTGTTTTTTATAACAGATTTTTAATCGGGAAGATTCCCTCAGCCTGAGTGCCAATTTTGCAGCCAGTTGCTTGGATTAAGTCCAGTTGTTGTTCGAAGAGTGGCAATCAAACATATTCTAGCCACTCTTTGCATATTTTTCACATACTACAGCCCACTGTTAGCCTCACTTGGGCAAAGTACTTGTATAAAGTATTGGAGTAGTCTTCTTTATCTCCTTCTGGGAAGAGGAAAAAGCACAACACCCTGAGGTGTAGCCCTATGAAGTGGATTGCACATTGTTGAAGCTTCCAGCGTTGAACTAATAAACCTAGCCAAAATCATTCCTTCATTTAATTTCACAAGTGATTCTAAGATTTTCAGTTCTCTTAGCGAGTTCATTACTGTTTAGGTTGAATGATGTCAAAGGCAACTTTAGAGATTTTGAATCTCCAAGGTCATCGCGCTCAACGTTGTTTTCATAGATTTTGTTTTGTTGTGATACCTCCAGCTGTTCTGGATTGAAATATAAATTAATTTTTCTAAAGCCTTTAAAACCAGTATGCAGTGAACAGCGGAAGAGTCAGTCCATTTTGGGAAAACTGAATAATTTTATAAATTAATGTTTTTGAGAATGGATTGCCAATAATCGAAAATTGAAAGTAAATTTTTATATTTTTTTAACCACGAATATTTACTTAAAAAAAACTTATTTCGATTAAAAAAATTGAAATCATAATTTAAGCTTAGGCGATAGTAAGCAATTTTTTTAAATATAAATTTGTGGGGTTTTTTGACTGTTGGTCAGCCAAAAGTAGCTGATGCACTAGTAGAAACCATACGCACTTCAATCTTGAAATTTAACGAGAGGAACTGAGGTCGTTATGGGCGGAAGTACAGACAGAATATCGAACTTGTCTGCCGAATGCCAATACATCAGGTGCAAATCACCGACCTACAATTGAGGCGACCAAGTTGAGGTATGCGGATTGCTATAACGCTTATGTCTCTTGTGCAGCATTAATGGGTGATCACATTCACAACCCCACCGCAGTCCAGCAAAACTTTAACTTAACTGTCAGAAAATCCTGAACGAATAGCTGAAGTGCAACTATGCCCAGCATTAGTTTGTCACCATGCGACACCGAAGTATTTTACGGTGAATATTTGCAGTGGACTTTCTTCAAGGCTTTGTTTACTGCTTTATACGGGAACAATCCACAGACACTTTAACCAGAAAACTCAGAGTGAAGCGCTGGAAATAGTGCAAAAGGTCCCAATCATTCACGATGATTACTCGATAGCATGGAAAAATTTGACTGATCGATATGAAAACAAACGAGTTTTAATAAATTTACAGTTAAAGTTTCTGTTAAACCTTTCGTACATCGCTAGCGAGTCAGAAGCAGCACTGAAAACACTGTAGCGGGACGTCAATCGCACTTCAAATTCAAGGCATTGACATTCACAGCTGGGTTGTGGTTTTCGTATATTTGTGTTCGAGAAGGCTTCCACAACCAACTTTAGCTCTTTGGGAACAGACTATTGAGTCATAAACAGAAATTTCTAAGTGGATCGACTTGGATATTTTTCTTACGGCTGAGATGCTATCTAACGTCAAGGGTGGCTCCATGCCTGAGCAAAAACCGAGTGGTAGTTCAAATAATTTCCCATCTAGAGGGGTAAATACACTTCACGCCAAATCGAGTGGGATGAAATGTAAACTGTGCTCTTGCCAAACACACATTCTTAAAACCTGCCGGGCATTTCTCGATATAAAACAAATCATACTCTGCTTCATAAGGAACAAGATGAGTAGGAGCTAATCACTTCCAATAATCAACAGAGGTCAATTGAAGATCATACTGCATCGGTTAAGGCAAACGGGGCAAGCAGTACATCCACTAAGCAAAGTTTGCTATTAGGAAGTGCTGTGGAACAGAGAGAGCGTTAATAGATTTGAGATTTGAGGGGACTTTTAACTCATAGAGCTTACAAATAAGTAAGAGTATTAGCGCCCATTTAACCGGTTTAAATGATGCAGTATCCGGTACATTATATGGGTACTAAAGAATTTGCCTCCCCCGAAAATGAGACTTCAGGCGTAAAGTGGATGCAATGAAAGGTACTAAGCTGACGGAGCTTCTCCCAACCCAAACATTTAACAGTGAATTTGCAGAAATATATATATGATGAAGTCAGACAAGAGTCTATCGTATATACAATATTACATCGCGTAGCTAGAGGACGGCGTTGAATCGGGTTTACCGGCAGAACACGAACAGTACAATGCAGTACAAATAGTTGCCAGAACACTGCATGAGATGAATTGAATTTCTATTTTAAAACTTGGAACGGAACAATGCCATTGGATTGATTCAAAATATTGCTCCGCTTGGTTTACTTTCTAGAAGCTAACTCTTCTTTCACCTGTGTTATGTTGAGTTAATCAGCATCATGGAGTATCAATCTTCAATCACAATCATTAAGTAACTTATACCCCTTAGACAACAACTGCAGTAGACGAGTTGCTAGTTTTTGTACCATGAACAGTTTATGAACTACTTTTCAATGTGAGCTACCAAGATACGGAGGAAAGTGTACATCTAACCCATGGATGCATGCTCCCCTAGTCGTCCTTGTGCCATTATTGTGGCTGCTTCGTTAGTCGGTGAGAGATTTTCAACTGCTTTGAGCAATCTTTTTATAAAAATTACAATATGATGTTTTTTCCCTTCGGATGTTTCACGAAATATTCCCGTTTTGGCCAACCTGTCAGTTCCCTCTTTTATGAAGATATTTTTTATGGCCGAGAACTCAGATTAAAAAGTCATCGAATTTAGGTAACAGAGAGTCTATGGCCTTCCCACAATAGTTGACGAGCACGGAAATTTCGCAAAACTAGTAATGCCGGCTTTGAGTTTGCTGGCAGATTCTGCGCCTAGTACTCTCACTTGGAGTATTCTAGCTGAATTTAGATTAAGATGGGTTTTCTGCTTCCTAAAAAACGTACTCCTGGGACACATCTAGAGACTATAATTGTCTGCAAGTACATATTGACTATCTCAGCTACGGAGAATATAGTCTTATTTTCCATTATAATGATTGTTTAATTTTGGCTTACAAAACCCGTACCCAATGTTTGTCGAATGGCTGCCATATACATCCATAAAACTTGGGATAAGTTCCCAGTTCGTCGTAAGTTCTTTCTTGCAAGTATAGTCGGCTGCATAGGAATTCTTACTCGTTTTGCGAAGCCAGAAATCGTATGAGATAATATCATTCGGAATCAGTCTCAAACAGTAACCAAACCAGCTAGGATCGTGTTGATTCATCTACTAAAATACAAACTCCCTAAGCTTCGTAATTCGTACGGAATAAAGGAGTAGATAATGTTTGCTCAGAGAAATGTGTGACTGCCGTTCTTGACCAAAGAGTTTGACTCTATGCATATAAGTCATACGAAGTCTAGTCAAGAGAAAAATAAATTTTAGTGTGAAAGATATGAAAGAGCTCAAAAGCGCACTCAAAATCCCTTAAAATCCATTGTTTTCTTTTTCAAATTTACTCGACACAGATGTTCAATGTCATGTTTTTTTTTTCGGAAGCTTTTGAATATTTACCGTTAATATCTGGAGATCGAAATGCGATTATAATGAGGGCAGCTCCAGCGTTCATAGACTTTTCAAAGCTGCCATTTTGTCAAACTACTCAGTACAGTTTTTGTTTTCTTTATCTTTTTCTTCTTCTCTTCTTCTTCTTCTTCCTCTTTTTCTATTTCTTCTTCTTCTTGCTCTACTACTTACATAATTTACACTATCACATCTAGTTGATTTTTATAGTTTTCCAGTGGTATGGAGTTGCTGAACCGAACTCAAATATATTTTGCACCTTTTGCCAAGTTTCCCGAGAGAAACTCACCATCTTTTACCTCATCTTCCGGACTTGCTATGGAGCTGGATGAAGTTGATTAAGCCGAAACCGAAACCGAAACCGAAACCGAGAATTCAAATTGAAATATGCGAAATATTAATATTCAAAACTTAACGAATTTGACGAAGACCACAACATTCGTAGGGATGAAACGTAGATGAGACGAATGTTAGCAAAATGGCGCTGATGGCGACGTTGATGTGTGGTTGTACTTTGTTGCAGTGATGATGGTAGTGGTGTTGTTGTTATTATTTATCATAAATTGAGTTAAAATTAGAGATTTCACGTGGCATCCACGCCATTATTTTATATTTTGAGTTGTCGAATAGTTGTTTTAAGAAAAAATCTATTTGTGCGTTTCGTCTGCGCCATACTGCTATCTACAGACTAACAAAAGACCTCGTCATGGTCCTCATCGTCAACGTACTACCATGACCTGCCGCGCTCTCTCGCCACATAGCAGCCACTTGTACATAGCTTCTACTAGTCCCAGCCCCAGCCAAAGTCCAAGTTCAGAGTTCAAGCTCGCTTAACAACCGCCATACCAAGGAAAGGTCCAGCACCATCAGTGCGGAGGCACCACCGGACGCGTCATGCCACCAAATTTATGCCGTGATTGTGGCTTCTCAACCATATAATCTTCATATGCGTATAACGGTGTAATTTTCAGACCTGTCTTTTCGGGCACAATTTTAAATTGCGGTTGATCGGTGCTAACCAGCATGGGCCGCTTCATGGAATGCATGTAATCGGTATGCGAGGCGCCGAGCGGACGTCGTGTTGTCGGTACATTCATTTTTTTGCAAGGCTCAGGTTTGGCTTCCACATTCATTTGGCAGTTTTGGGCTGAATACTTATTTGGCTTATATATGGAGAATATGTTATTGATTAAACTGAGTGCTGAATGGCCACTGGCGGAGGCATGATGACCACCGGTGGTGGGTTGTTTGGTTTGTACCTCGTGATCTGTGTAGAAGTTATTGTATTTATATGAGGGCAGGTTATCCGCGACTGGGTAGACTTTGTGACCATAGGCGTAGGCGCGGTGTAGGGGTGAGCCGCCTTGTTCAAAAAAATGAAAATCACTTGAATTGTTGGCGCCATGATGAATTGCGGAGCCGTCTGGCGCCGACGACTCCACTTGGGGCGGAGAGGGCATACCCTCGAGCAGTGATTTCTTGATCATCATGCGCTCCTGCTCGCGATCGTGCATATCGATGGGTTGGCCGTTATTATAACAACCGACAGTGACATTTTTCGTCTTCAAATTGCTCTGCATATTCCGTCGTTGCATGTCTAAATCGACAGGACTGGGTGGTTTATCCAATTCAGCCCAATATTTTTCTAAATCAACATTAAAGTCTTCCAAATCCATTTCGGTGGAATCCGAGCAGGTGTCATCATCATAGCGACTCGGCGGTTGTACTTCGAGCAAAGACTTACTACGCGCTGGTCGTCGATATTGTGTGGTATAATGCAAACTAGGCCCTGCATTCGATAGATAGCGTTCATCTTCGTCTAGGAATTTATCTTGCATAAGTAGGCGATCACGTTCATCACGTATGAAATGATCGAGATCGGTGTCGTAGGCTACGGCACGGCAGTGTGAATGTTCCTCTTCTTCGGCTGCCGGATGGTGGCCGGGACAGTGTAGACGCGAACGCGACCTGGCAATATGGCGCTGTTGCTGGCGGTGGTAGCAATAGTCATCGGCGGCGCAACAACAAATCACCGTTGGTGGCGGCGGCGGTGGCTGCTCACACTCGCGATCGCTGTGTCGTTCACGTTCATGCTCACGACTGCGAACACCTGAGTGCATAGAGTAGCGCGAGGCCGCTGCCACACGCTGGCTACCGCGTTCCCGTTCTTCGACCCAATCGGCGGTGGTGGAGGCGGAGGCGGTATGTAGGTTCCTGTTGCTACCACCGCTGGCGCCAGCGCTATACATGCCCACGGGCGTGCCACGGCTGCGCCATGTGCGACGTCCGGCCGCCGCCGGATAGCTCGGATAGATTTCGTCCAGCAGACAATTGACGCTGGTGCAGTGCTCACGTGCACAACACGGATGTGGCGCCGGTGCTGGCGGTGGCGGCGGCGATGACGCCGTCGCTTCGTGAGCCGCATACGCCAGCGTGCTCTCGTCGAGGCTGCTGCTGCAGTAGTAGCCCGCGGACTTGCGGAAGGCCTCTTGTTTGTCACGACGCGTTGCGCTCGTCGGCGGCAGTTCATAGTCCATGACATCGAAGGGTGTCGTCTTGGACGTTGTGGCACTGAATGAATACGATTTGGGCACATTGGTTTTTTTCAATATGGATGTGGTGCCGCCGGTGCCTTCATAACTGGCTGTGCCACCACCACTCATCACATAACAACTCTGGGATTTTGGATATTGAAATTCTCTACAGCTAATTGAACGGTGTATACCATAACCGGGTGAACCTTCACCTTCGCCACGTTTACCTTTACCACCCACATCTGCTGGCACATCGTCCAAAATATCCTCCACAAAGAACTCATCCTGTTCGCGAATGTTACGCAACTTACGATACGTACCATACTTCAGGCACTCGGGCACATAATCCTCTTCTAGATCTTCGGAACGATTCGAATAGATATTGTCTGTATACCAAGTCGGATCGAGTTGTTTCGGTTTCGGTTTAGCTTGTTGCATACGATCTCGTTTCGATTGACGGTAACTTTCAAAGCAAATATTTTTCATCTTCTCTAATTTTTGTTCTCTTATACGCTCCCAGTTCTCCCAATTTTTATCATTTTTACTTCTACCACTGGCAGCGGCCGCATCAAAACTCCCATAATACTCACTACCCGGACCCCCAGCATAGTCGCCATTGTAATCGACATTCACATTCTTCATGCCATACTCGGCCGGTGGTGCGCTGGGTTCGCGACTCAAATTGTTGTAACTCGTGCCACTGCCACCATTCTCAGAGACTACAATTCTTATTCTACGCTTCGTTTTATCTAACAGCTTCGATGACAGCGAAGATTTCTGCGGCTTGTCACGTTCAACTGGCGGCTCTTTTGGCTGTCACACCTCTTGCAGGTACTTAATAGGGCAATAGCCCTGACGGTTCTCTCCATTGCGCACCAACACCATACCGTTAACTTCGTCGCCAATCTAAGTGTAAAAAAATGAAATAAACTCTCTTGTTAATGCACTCTTGCATGAGTATCGCTCTCATTTCTACCTGTATAACGATTTGATCTCTCAACAATTGAAGTTCACCGCGCTCACCATCGGATACTTGGAGGTTATGTACTACTTGTAACGGTTTCTCATTGGCATTTAGACGTACACAGTATTTGGATGGAAAGTAACCGGTACGACCAAGCAACTTACCCTGCCACCAGTCGGGATCGGAGGTGTCGATGACGGTGACCTGTGGAGTAAACGGAAATTGTAATTTTTTTTTATGATATTTTCAGGAAATTAAGTGAAATACATTCTGCACATCTATAAATTAGTGGGCCAATGTTGAGCGAAGAACTTTAAATGGAGCAAACTCCTCAAAAGTTTTTGAGATTTAAAAAAAAGTTGTTTTTGAATTTAGCCATAATCTGTGACCTTCTTATTCTTCTCGACATAATCACCATTGACTTTAATGAATTTTTTAAGCCTAAAGATCTATTTCTGAAAACAGTCTTCAAAGTCTTGCTTCTAAGCTTATCAAGTTCAGTATTAACCGCATTAATTATCTCCTCGTTGCTATTCCGGACCTTTCGTTGAATTTTTTTTTTAATTTTTTGGAAATAACCAGAAATCGCAGGGTGCTACATCCGGGGAGTATGAGGATGGACAAATATCTTTGACTCAAGAGATCTCAATAAAAGTACTCGTTATTTCAGCAGTGTGGGATGGCACGTTGTCATGATATTAAAGGATGCGCCGCAAAAGCTGTTTCTTCCTGTTTTTAGAAAAATTTTTGTAAACTTTTGTTAAGCACTCTTCGGTGTACCTTTTTTCAGTTAACGTCTGACCCTTTTTTAGCGGAATACGATTTTTGATTGGGAGAACTAAACTGACATTACTTTTGCAGCTGATTTTTTTAGCTTAGAGTTTACGCATGAGTTTGCTCCTGTTGGGCTCCATACCATGGTGTGCTGTTTGTTTTCTGGATCGTTCTTAAAGAACCAAGATTCGTCATCAGTAACAACTTTACTGAAGTTGCTTGACTGACCATTTTAGTATTTGTTTAGGAAAAATTGAGCAAAATGCACTCGAGTCTCTTTTAAATTTCGTGGTACCCACCGAGCAGATTTCTTGGTGTATCTCAGCTGATTACTTAATACTCGCAATACAGCCATGACATTCCAGCCCAATTCATTATTAATCAATTCTTGTGTCAATCGTGTGTCTTCGTCAATTTTAGACTTTACCAAAGCTAAATTGACGTCATAAGTGGATGATTTTCCTTTACAGAAAAATATTCGGTCTGGAATTTTTAGAGCCCTTAGAAATAATCTTTATAGACGGTCCAATCATTCTATATGGAATTTGGCATTCACTGAATATTTTTATTCGTTGTAAATTACGCCGAAACCAGAAGAGAATCACGCGGCGAATTTCTGTTTGCTTTGGTGGTGGACCTATTTTTAGCTATCTTGGGGTCTCCATTTAAACCGATCGTTTTTAAATTTGAAATAAAGGCTAATAAAGTAACTGCAAAGGATTTCTTATTTTTGGATTTAACAAAAACAAATTGGAAGTCACCCACTCATCTATTTTTTACATCTTCTCGTACGTGATAAGAGTTAAATTTAAAGAAATAAGATCTTTCATTTTTATCTTGCAACTTTCCCTGACTCAGAGAAGGACCTTCTGACCTCAGGCAAACCTGAGCGCAACATTTTAGCAACACTTACGTCATTCAACAGAGCCCACGGATATTATGTGGCACTACACAAAGCTACTTAGAAGAGCAAACTGGCAAAATTCAAGCCCACGTTCCTACAACAGTTGCGCTGCCTTATATCCTTCGAAAGCTTCTGAAATTATGCTAAATCTTCTCCCTTCAGAAATATATATTGTAGGATAATTAGATTTAAAAATCGCAGCTCGGCTAAGGGGAACCAGACCCGCATACAATTTCTTTTACACCACCTCAGAGGTGGCAGCATGATGCCGATAAGTTTTAACAAACTCTCGATTGTAAGCGAAACGTACATGGTGCACTAGAAAGGAAACGATCCTAATCATGGTAAGCTCCGCAGCGATGTGACATAGTATTGTACCTAATGACATAGTACCTACCAAGATGAGCTTTTATCACTACACCAGGCGACCAGAGAGTTCGGACAATTGATCAAGGAGAAGAGAATTAAGGAATGTAGTTCCTTCTAAGCAAGTTCTCCACAAGCCTAACATAATAACCGGCTACTGTCTGAAGGGGTCTCATGTTAGAGGAATGCTGCAGATCTCTTCGATTTTTGTCCCGTTCATCGCCCTTCTTCGACGGCGGCGATTTTACTTTCTTCTTACGAACACATCAGCAAGCTAAGCAACGGAATTTTCCCAGTTAAAGAATCGAAAATACATTTGCAAGGGTCGTCATAAAAAGGGTGGCTTCCCACAACCTGTCTAGGTGAGTAAGTTTAATTTTTTTACACATATATACAGCGAGCCGCTTGCTTCAAGGGCGACTCCTGCTCCCAGCCGCATCTTTGGTAAACAGACGCTGCATTAAGACTTCAGCGAACCCTTAAACCGAAGCTTCCCTCACTTAGCTGTGACCCAAGGAACCATACGGACTGGTTACCGCATCTTGCACAATAGTGACATGGACGCAAGAGTAGTAACTACTGCATACCCAGTGGCTTGACTACACCCCACTACATCATTAATTACTTTTAAGAATTTCATTGAACAAAAATTAAAAAAATGGTTACTCTCATCTGCTGTAAGACTTCTCTCTAACTCTTTGGTGTGGCACAAATTATTAGCGTTTCACTGTCTTATTGATTTTTTTCTTTATTGCTTGGACATTTATTTAGTTTAAGTTTATTTTCTTCACATCTATTTGTGTTGGTTGCAGTTATTTCCGTCACTTTGCTCTCTTAATCCTTTAATCTTTTTGGAGAAAATGCACTTAATTAACGAAAAAGCATTTCCTTCTTTACGTAGCTCCCATTAATTTTCTCGTAAACATGTTTTTATATGAGGTCTGCTTTTATCAATCACTTTCTACACTTACTTTAATTGATGAAGGACCTTGAACAGCTTTATTATTTTCTTTAAAACCCTGAACTCAAGTCAATGCCAATCAGACTATCAGCTAACCAACAGCATCCTTTAGTGCATGACGCACACACATCAAAGTGAAGCGTGAATTTTCCACTCTTCCACACTCTCTATCTCTCTCTCTCTCTCTCTCTCTCTCTCTTTCAACACTCCCTCTCTTTCACCCTAGCACTCTATTTTTCTCAGTGTGTTACAAAGAGGAAAACAACATATCAAATCAACATCGAAAACAAAAACAAAGCTGCCATTGGCACCTGCATTTTCAATGGAGAAACCACTAGATGGCTGAAGCTGAGTGATTGGGGCACTTATAGCACACCTAAATGTACACATACACCTTTACAATTATACACATTTGTAGTCAAAGGTTAATAAACAAAGCAGAAAAGGATTCTGCTACCAACGAAAGCGTAAATTGTTTTGGTTTTGATGGGAATCGTTCAGTGAAGCGCGAGATACGCTGGCGTTACCATTAATCGCGTGTGCGATGAAAAGGCACAATGTAATCGTGTACGAGGAGTAACTAAAAAGTTTGTGAAATAGGCTTTTCAAGCACGGGATACAAGGAGAAGCTTAATAATCTGCTTAAGATAATAAAGAGACCTCAACCTAAGTGGTTCAGTACTTTGCATGTAAAGATTTGTAAAAGTTTGGCCGCTTTATGTCACCGATTGGTGAAGAAGGACATCTCCGTACCGTTCGATACTAAACGAGGTTTGGGAGAAGGTGTTTCCTTGATGCAGTAGAAAATAATATGAGTTGCAGAGCTGGATAGAGCAGAGTGAAGATATTGACGTCATTGGTACCAGTAACATTGCGCCTTGCAATCTGCTTTCTTCTGATTAGATAAAGGAACTAAGCTTCTAGGTCTGGTGGTGAACGAACGCAAGATGAAATATATCCTCTCCTCAAACAAACATTTGCAACTTGGTTCCTACGTCAGTGGAAACGGTCATAACTATTAAGTCGCGAATAATTTGGTCTAACTTGGAAAAAGTATTAATTCCAACATAAATGACAGCCTCGAAATCCAACGAAGGTGCTACTTTGAGCTGGGTAGGTAAAAGAGAATTAAAGCTTTTTCGACGAACAAAGATCAAATTCTACAAGTCGTTCATCATTTCCGTTCTGCGGGGGAGTAGACGATGGCAACATCTGATGAGTTGGGGCTAGGGATTTTCAAAAGAATGGTTTGCGGCTAGACTGGTTAGGTCATATTGCTCCAGCTTGGAAAGTTTTTGCACTACCCGTCGGTGGAAGCAGAGGAAGGGGAAGACGTGTACCCCACTGAAGGTTCATTTAGAGAAGAACAGGGTTGTACTTCGTATTTCTCTGATATGATAATGACAAAGTAAGACTTAGTCTTATTCGTGTTTCTATTCACATGTACATTCAGATTTGTATTCGTATTTGCATTCGTATTTATATTCGTATTCGTATGCCTATTCTTAATATTATTCAAATTTTTTAGTTTAATATTCAGTTTTTTTCATATTTGAATTCGTATTCGTATAAGTCTTTGTATTTATGTTCGTATTTTTGTTCGTATTCGTATTCATATTTCTATTCTTATTCATAGTCGTATTCGTATTCGTATTCGCATTCGTATTCGTATTCGTAATTCTATTCTTATTTATATTCGTAATCGTATTCGTATTAGTGTTCGTGTTCGTGTTCGTATTCGTATTCTTGTTCGTGTTCGTGTTCGTATTCGTGCCCGTATTCGTGCCCGTATTCGTACCCGTATTCGTATTCGTATTGGTATTCGTATTCGTATTCGTATTCGTATTTGTATTCGTATTCGTATTCGTATTTTTATTCGTATTCGTATTCGTATTCGTATTCGTATTCGTATTCGTATTTGTGTTCGTATTCGTATTCGTATTTGTGTTCGTATTCGTATTCGTATTCGTATTCATATTCGTATTCGGTTTGTTCAATGGAACGCCTATACCACCATCTTCGTTTGAAGATTCCGTCATCTCATTTGTTTTTTTCATTCCTTCATGAACCCAAAATGCACTGGTTTGCCCTCGTATCTGATTGCTTTGTATGCATACAAACTGGAAACTGGCGCTTTTATTACCAACCAATCAACTGGACGTGCTTTTAATTCTAATCAAACATGCCTGCCAACAACAA